CCTCCCGCGCCAGCCCGCCAGTCCCCCCCCCAGCCCACACCCCTGTACCTGGGTCATGGACTGAGTGGCAGGGTAGCCACTGATGGCGCCAGTGCCTTCAGTCTGGCCATCCAGCTGCCCCTCAGACACCTGGATCACCCTGTACATCACCTGAAGGGAGGACAAAGTGGGAAGAAGTGGGAAGAAAAGAGTTAAATGCTGGACATTCCAGGCCCCCTCACAGCTTCTCCTGATAGGGCCGCAAAACAAGAGTCCTTCAGGGACGTGGATTCAGCCATTCTCCCTTCTTCCCCCACACAGACGTTTCAGCTTACCCCACCACACACCAAGCTCTAATCCCAACCTATTAGCCACATGCCCCAAACAGTCCATATGCTCCCCTCGTCCATTAAGCCCAGTCCCCCAAAACACATTCAATTACCTCCCTCAGTCCCAACCCCAGGTAACACCTGCAGCCACCCTCCCTTACCTGGCCCCCATTCTCAGTTCGGAAGACGTACTTGACGTTGGGGTCGGGGAAGGTGGCAGCAGACTGTATGCTGGCGATAGCCACACTGGTCGGGTCCTCCCCAGTTGCCACTGCACCTGAGTTAAAGAGCAAAGGAGACGTCCGAGTTACCGCTTTTCTCCCTCTATGCTGCTTACAGGTCATCGATTTATGAAAGTGTATTTATATATTTCTCCATGAGCAAGAAAGACAGAGAAAAGAGAGAGTATCCCACCCTAGTCCAACGTCACACTCACCCTCAGCCAGCCCCGGATCACGGGCACACGTGTACACAGAATACTCAGGGAAGACTCTGGACATGAACCCAGAGCCTTTCCATGCATCGGGTCGTCAGGAAAGTCATGATGCATTTTTGCATAGACACATTTTTGCATCATGATTTTTCTGACAACCCAACATACTCGCCTTGCAGAGTGCTGTGTTTTACCCTGTAACACTGCCCAGTTCCCTGCATGTCAACTTTTTTTTTTTTTTAAATTACCAGAGGGCAAATGAAAGAAGGAGACAGAGGAAGAGGGACAAAGCATTCCCAGTAAGGCATGGCCATACTACAATCCCTTCCCTCCACCTCTCCATTCCTGTCAGGATTTGGGGCACACACCTGATCACCTGATAGATTTTTCAAGCCACCGGAGCCAGGACTTGAAATGCAGATGGCCATGTGGAATCCAGGTGTCTTAACCACTAGGTCATGGGACCAGCCTCTACCCCCCACATGTCATTTAGAAGGAGAAGAATGCACAGGAGATGGCCCAGTGTGGTTAGGACGGGAGTCATGATGGGTTCCTGACCTTGGTTCTGTTCCTAACACTCACCTTCCTGAATCTGTACAGTCCCCTCTTCCGTTTCAGCTGATTTCTGCTGCCTGTTCATGGTGAAAGGACAAAAGGCAAGAAAGATGAAGAAGTGGGTAAGAAGCTCACTGGCATTCCCGGCACATGCTAGGTCGGGTTAGAATAACAAGGACTAGTATTTACTTACTGAGTGCTTACTGTGGACACAGGCACATAACATGTACTGTCCTAAGACCAAGGACAGCACCATGAGGTAGGTAGGACCACTCCCACTTTACAAGTGGGCACCCCAAATCACAGAGCTGGTACGTGATGGAACTAGAGCTGAATCCAGGTTTGCCCGACGTCACAGCGAGTGCATTCTCCCAGGCCACCCACCTCTCATCCCAGACCCTACCTCTTCTTCACTCACCCCTTCATCTCTCTGTGAGGGGGCACATCCGAGGAACTGAGCCTTTTTTGGAGGTCTTAGTATCTCCCGACTTGCAGGCCTGGGTGCTAAGTCCTAACAGAAATAATGAAGTTTGCAGTGAGTCTAAGAAACTGAACAGTATCCCTGATTCTAGAACCTAGGCTCCATTAAGACATAGCCAAGAAAATAACTCAGTGGCCTGCAAGGCACACTCAGCTTCCCTCATTCTCTTCTCTCTTTCTTTCTTTTCTTCTTTTTTTTTTAAGAGAGATATTTTTGCTATAGGGTACATTTGCTTGCTAGGGAGACAGAGAGACAGAGAGTGAGAAATCACCCCCAGGGGGGATGGCCATGCCACAATCCCTTCTCCTCCATTCTCCTCTTGGGATCTTGGGCACACACACATATGCACCCAGCGTGAGTTTTAAACCCCCAAATTTCAGTCAACTATATGGGAGTCCAGCAACATTACGCCATCTGCTGGTCCTAATCAGCTTCTCCTAGTCTGAGTTGAGGATGGACCTACCACTTATTGAAAAAGCAACTCTGGGACCAGAAGATGGTGTAATGGTGACTTCACTGGACTCCCACATAGTCAACTATAGGTCAAGTTGCGGACCCAGTGGCTTAAAACTCACACTGGGTACGGGGCCAGCAGGTGGCCCCAGGACCTGGAGGCTTGCTTGCTCTCTCTCTCTCTCTCTCTCTCTGTGGGTATGTGTCACTGGAAATATTAAAATAATAATAAAAGTTAAATAAAAATAGTTCTTTAAAAAAAAAAAAAACCTCACACTGGGTGCATGTTCATGTATGCCCAAAATACCGAGAGAAGAATGGAGAAGGAATTGTGGTGTGGCCATCCCCCCTGGTGAGTGACTTCTCACTTTCTGTCTGTCTCTCTGGGAGCACACACGCACTACAGGAAAAATCTCTATTAAAAAAAAAGAGAGAGAGAAAGAAAGAAAGAAAAAGCAACTCTAAAACAAAGCCCCTCACCCCTCCATTATCACACCAGTTCTTAGTGAGAGAGAAGATAATCAGACTGGAATACAGAAACAACAGATTTCTGGGTAAACAATTCTTAAAGCTATTCTGATCTGCCATGACATCAGCTTTATGGGAATTAGGAAGGACCATGTTCAGACCACCCACCAGGAAAAATCACACGATCATGGACACTGATGTTGCTTCCAGGTTCTCAGCCACATAACTGAACACCAAGACATTTCTGTTCTCAGATAGAGGAAGGGGAAATCTGAAGCCCACTGGCTCTGGAAACTGTCCCTAACGACTAAGACTAGACTTGGTTCTTGGGCCCTAGTCTACTAACAAGGCTCTTGTCTTGGGGTGTCCATGTTTGTATTATGTTATGTTAGAGACCTGAAAGTCTAAGTGCATCATCTTCCAGCCCTCTATTTAATTCCCCAAGACTTCCTGCGGAATAACACAGTTGCTAAAATGTTGCCATGACAACTCCAAACCAACTGAGCCTTAGCAAGAAGGGAAAAACTAGGCTCTGGGTTCTGAAGAGGAGACAATGGGGGCGGAATTAGTCTACCAGGTGCCTAAGGACCCTGGCACTCAGGCAGAGGACAGGAAAAACAAAGGACCCCACACGCACATGCCTTCAGAAAGAAACAGTTACACAATACAAAGCAGTAAAATAATCCCAGCAGGAAAGGGGCAAGCTTTTGGTAACTCTTCTATCCTTAAGGTCCTCCAAATCTTTCCTATGCAAGGAAAATCTTCAGCGGATAAGCCTTGGAAAACCAGTGCCCAAGGAAAATGTTAACAACAACAAAAAAAGGAACTGAAAGTGAAACGGTCCGAAGGAAGTAACGTAGCAAGAAGATCCCATCCCTAAGGGGAAGCAGCTCTAGCGTTAGGGGACCACCTACGTCTCCATCCTCAAACCTAGGGAGGAAATGCCCCTCCAAGGCTTTCTGCGCTAACTGCAGGAGGAGGCAATGAAAGCGAGGGCAGGGCATCGGAGGCATCTCTATCGTCTACAGCTGTCAGCCAGGGGCAGCTCCGGAGGACACGCAGCGACCGCGTCAGGCTACTTACTCCAATCTTAGTTGGACATCCGGAAGCATTTCCTGAGCTTTAGGGATATGTGACACGGAAACCGAAATAGGATGTTGTGGCGTGCACGCTCGGACTAGGGCCCAGCAAAAGCCCTTGCTGTCTGGACACAAAGGGTGGGGGGATCACATCCCGCAAGCGGGCAGGCACTAGACCTGGTGTGAGAGTGAGGCGTCTCCCTGCAGGCCCACCGAGCAGCAGGCGCTCAGAGAGCCGAGCGACCGCCAGGCGCGGGCCAGGGAGCCCGGGAGCCTGCACCGTGACCCGCCTGGAGCCCCGGCTGCACCGCAGAGGAGGGAGGGAGGG